GTTGCGTGACATTAGATTCATATAGAGAGATTGATTAGGAAAAAAAAGATTAAAAACAATTGAGATAAATTTTGTACCATTGGATCAAAGTGGATAAAAATTAAATTAATCTTGATTGTTGTTATTCTTTTATAAATTGAGAATTCAACTTTCAAATAATATTATTATATATATAGAGAGAGAGGGAGAGATCGATTAGACGTCTCTCTAATCATCGATCGACCTGTTATATGTCATTCAATCTAACCCTGAAGATTTATGTGAAGATTATATGTCATAGAGTAATGTTATTTGAACGTAATTTATTATCTTAATTTATTAACTCAATTTATTATGGCTATTGAATTAATAACAAATTTTAATTTTATATATAATTTATTGTCACTTTAACGATTATATTATATTCAATCAACTTATAAGATGGATAAATTATGACAACTAGCGTTACTTTATTGGATATAGACCAAATAAAAGATAGAGATGATCAGACAGATTTTGAGTGCCAATAGATGAAAGATTGAGCTTTTGACCAAAACCATTCGCCTCACAGACTTTATTCTCATACCCAGCCTATTTTAAACTTATTTTTTTAACCCAGTCTTTTCTTAAAAACGTCATTTCATATGACGCCTTCATGAATTAAAACGTCATTTGGAATGATGTTTTTAAACTGTATAAAAATGTAAGTTAAAACAGCTTTTTAAAATCGTCATTTGAAATGACGATTTTATAGTGATGAAAAGATAAATGGTTTCTTAACGGAGTTAGGACATAAACCTTTACTGTAACCATAAAATGTCATTCGGAATGTTGATTTTAAAGTCGTCATTTGGAATGACTACTTTCAAGTCGTCATTTAAAATGACGATTTACATGAATTAAAATCAAATTTAACCTTTTCCAAATTCAAAGAGACCTTAACTCTCTCCCAAATTTGAAATCAAACAAAAACCTTTGTTCCTCTCCAATCCTCTACCCTCTCTAGTCCACCGACGAAGCCACTCCTCGACGAATAGCATCCCAGCAAAGGATTTCGCAAAAACGAAGACCATCATAGTGTTCCCCTCCTTTGACGAGTTCTGACCATCATCGTTTCTGTCGACGAGTTCAGACCACAACTCCGGCAAGTTCTATCCACAACTCCCTCTCCTCCCACGAGTTCTGTCCCTCTCTGTACCAGTATCCCTATCCTCCAACTAAGGTATTCTGTCCCTCTCTCACTCCATTTATTTTTTAATTTACTCACAACTGGCTAGGGCACATTCTTATGAAACAAAGAATAAAAATGATTATGGTCAACGAGAATAAAAATGATTATGGTCAACGAGTGTGCTGGCCTTGTGCCTCAATAACAGTCCAACCTTGGTACTTGCTTGGATTTTTGGCACTTTGTGTTAGGATTTAGCTTTCCTAATTTGGTTCACTAAGCGCATGAAAACCAGAGTCATTGCAATGGTGATTATAAATCCAAAGGTGCTTATAAATCCAAATTACATGCCTTTACCCTGCCACGTAGTTCAGCTACCGATGACAGCCAGAAAAGACGCATAAACCTTGTGCAAATGATGCCAAAGATTAGGTTTGTGTGGATTAAATCCTTCTCAAACCCCCCATTAATGGGAACTAAAATGGGTGTTATTGTCATACATTCCTGTATTTAAAATGTGTTAACAGGAATATAAAGTTGTTGTATATATATAAGACTGGAAGTAATTTGTAATTTCAGTGAGATGAGGTTGTTTAAGTTGGTTAGATTGCAATATAATAGCTGTTCGATGTGATCATTGCAATCCAAAGACACTAATGTAACATGAACCAAACACATAGGAAAAAACAAATTGTCTGCAGCTTGTTTAAAGCCGTTTTAAAAAAATAGTTCTTAGATGAATTAAAATAGTCATCCAAGAAACCACTTGTCTTTTTTTCTTATGAAAGCATGGATCATTACGATGTGATCATTGAATTGTTATGTCGTTAATTTATCATTGGGAAGTTATTTCATTAGTTTATCAGCGTAGTCAGTCTAGTGTAAAGTCGTGTCAGTCCTTTTGTAATTCACGAGTTATGTCATTACTTTTTCAGTGTGAAGTCATTCAATTACTTTTTCAGTGTGAAGTCATTCAATTACTTTATCAGTATCAAATCATGTTAGTCGTACCTAGTAATTGTCCTGTCAAATTTATATATAATTGTATTTCGTGTCTGTATAAACTATCTTTATTAATTGTGTACATCATAACTCAAAAAATGTCTAGACACACATTTAATAGGCAATCCAGTCAAACCACTCAATGTTCTTCATCACGCAATGAACAACAAAGTTCATCTTCAACCAACAAACGTGAACGCTCTATTGGCCGAGCAGCATCGTCGAACGTAGTTTGTTCAATTGAATTCTACACAAATTCTACCAGTGTAACTTGGTATGGACAAAAACGTGAGTTCCGTAATGAGCCCATTAACCCTTATCACTCATCCGGTCAAGTTGGACATGTATTTGTTGGGCTTGCGACCGACTATCCACCTCCGAGTATTCGTTTCGAACCCATGCTAAGATGGATATGATTATATGACAAGCGTTGGGAGCTTGAAATATACTATCGTTGGTATAAATTAATAGTATTGAAGGCACGCTCAATTGATATATATGATCCACAAAATTCTAGCAACCATAACGAGATCATAGCAAGACTTGAACGTGAAAAAAATTAGATGCAGCGTAAACTTGATCGTTTGTATGCAATCGAGCATGCAAAAATTGAGTATTTCAATCCTGATTATGCTGAGATTCAAATTTTACAAGATCTGTTACTTGTTTCAGATACTGAACATTCTGATAAAAATTTAAGCAATGATGTGTTTGACACTTCTGTTCCATCTAGTTTATACATACTTGGTAACCCTCTATGTTATTTTTTACGTCAACCACAATATTGACAGACTGTATTTTCTACAATCTCATGTAATAAAATTATTTTGTTTAATGTATAAGTTTTTTTTTTTTTCCATATTTTTGATGTTTTGTACACTTTTGTTGGTTAACTCTCTTTGTTCGATGAACTTATTACAGAAAATTGGAATAGACAATTTTTTAACATATACAAAACAAATTTCTCACAATTAGTCACAAAATTTATATACTACACACAAACAATAGTTTAAGCATTTTTTTGGCAATGTAATGCACTGAATTAATTAATTTTTTTAAATTTATAACTTGATTTTTTAGTGGCTTTCAAAGTTTATAAATTTCTGTACGAAACTTGCTTTAAAAATATTTTTTTGTTAAAACAAAACAGAACTGAAGAAAAAATTTTATATCATGAAAATAATTCACAATATCGTAAGTTGCGTTATTAAAAAATAGAGGGTTTTTAGGGTTTTTTTTAAATGTTTTTAGTTTCTTTTTATGATTTTCAGTACATTATATGGTTTTTATTTTTTTGTACACATTCTTTAAAAACGTCACTTTGAATGACGTTTTTAAAAATGTCAGTCCAGATGACGTTTTTAAAAACATCATTCAAAGTGACGTTTTATGGGTCAATACTTTAATGCCCTATTAGGTTGTCGTTTGAATTTTTTTTTTTTAAAATGTCATTTTGAATGACGTTTTAAATAAAAAAAATTCACTTAAAAAACTTTATTTGAAATAACCTTTTAATCCGTGAAGGTGTCATTCCAAATGATATTTTTTAAAAAAAAAATTAGATTCGAGAAATAAGTTTAAAACAAGTTGAGTTTGGGAATAAAAATGGTGGAGAAACTGGGTTTGGAAAAAAGTGGATGAAAGATTAGATTCTTGTGATAAAATTTGTCAGTCATTTGATTTTCAGCAGTAACCGATTAAAGCAATGGCAGCTGGCACACAATTTTTTTATTATAAACACCTCCATTTGAATTAGAGTGGGGTTGTTTTTCTGCCACAAATATTTTTATCCACCTTATTAAACTTTTAATTATAAAACTATTAAATCCACCTTTACTATATTTACTCTGACTAATGATTAAATTCACCTTATTCTATATCCACCACATTAATGTCTAAACCAAACTTGTGCAATATTTAACTAAGATATAAAAATGATAAAATATTTTTTCTTAAATATGTCTTGATGTGCTAGGACACAAACAACTAAATTCTGAATAAAATATACAAAAAATATTATTTGAATGTTAACAAAAAAATAAAATAAAAATAGATCAGCCTTCACTCAAATACTTTTTATTTTTTAATCATTCCATGTGAATTTCTCTTCAAAAAAAAAAACAGTAACTTAGTTCAAAAACAGTATAAATACTTTTTATATACAAAAAAAGTAACTTATATATATATATATATACACACACAAAACATGTGCGGCAAAATTAAATAAAATTGAAACTAAAACCAACTTGAATATCACTTGAGAAATTTATATTAAATAATTAAGAAATTCGAAAGGTGAAGATTGAAATGAATTTAGTTATTAATAGGAAGGATACAAAAGGTGGTGAGTTTAGCCCGAGCTTTGTCTGAATTTAATTCGGATTGAAATTTTTTAACCTTAATCCTGACTCTAACCTTAAACTTAAAAAACTCAACCCTAATACTACTCTTTTCAAGTTTGATTCGGGTTAATCCGCTCAAGTTGCACCCCTAGGCTTAGTTAACAATGGAGTGAGCATAAAAAAGTGTGTTTAGTAGTTTTTTTAACTGTCTATTAGAGAGCAACTCTGCTTCTGTACTCGAAGATTACTTTGGAAGTACAATTTAGTCTATTTACCTATAAAAAACTGTTTCTTGTAGACCTGATAATAAGAACACACACACAAACACACCGAGAGAGAGAGAGAGAGAGAGTAGTACATCACTAACAAATCTTGTTTCCTCAAAACAAGTACCACTAACATATCAATTCATCACTAAAGGAAGTGATTGCCTCAGTAGTATTACGAGTGCAATACCATGAAGTCTATTTTTAAAGTATTTGATAAATGCATACTCAAATTTGGCAGACTCAAATCGAGGAAGATCGATCTTTTGGTAGCTTTTTCTTGTTTGTGACAGGGGAAGCAAGTAATTGCCCCATTAACGCAACCAGCATCGTCTTCACTAGCTTCCTCTTTGCTGGAATCGGGCTTCCGCTCTTGGGTTTGAACGCCGGCTTCCTGCAGATAGCACATCCGTCTTTTCCAAATGAGTTCAAAAACGCTATCTCACCTTTGCAGCCGTTGCTTTCGACTTCTGCTTTCTCACTCCTGTTCACTAACTCCATCTCTCTCTCTCTCACAGACCACCCTTGTTCTGCTTCTTAAGAGTAAGAAACGATGATATTTATACAGAGGGTCCATAGAGAAATTTTCATGGTGTTGGTCAAAATTAAATGATTTTATATTTCTGAGGAATGTTTGTCATTAACCAGCTTGCAAGAATTATTCTTGAAAAAGTCAGTTTTGGGGTGTTAAAGACTCATTCAAAAATTTCTCCTACCTCAATTTTTATTCATTAAAAACGTGACACATGTAAATATTTTTATTTTATTTTATTATTTCTCATTACTTGGTTATTTTCAATCAATAGTTGTAAATCATCCAAATCAAAATAAACAGATAAATCTCGGCACGTGCAGCGATACCAATACCGTAGGCTTATAGAGGTTAATCTCAACTCTTTTTATTTAATTTAATAATTAGATTTAAATTGAGCTTCATTTAATATTGAAACTTACATTTAATCCAATATCAATATTGAATTAAGCCCTCATGACGTTACGCTGTTTGTAATGGTGGTACACAAACATATGCTTAATAGGGGCCAGCTTTGAATACTCATTTTAGCATATGCTTACTGTTGGGTTCTCCTCCGGGGCACCTCAGAAAAACACTAGCCTTGCTTGGTAGGGAATTCAATAAAGTGATCACTAGATGAAATTAAAGTGTTCCACAGGAAAATAAAAGTTCCCTACAGTTAATTTCTTTCACTAATGAATAGAGAGAGTTCATGAATAATATGGAGAATTTCTACAGTTTCTCGAACACCCAATGGAGGATCTGAATTTGGTGTTTTTCACATGCTGGACTTTGATAGAAGTTTCTAGATCTACCAGCTTTTTACCAATCTCTCACGGTTTGAAAAAATAATTCTTAAAAAAACCCAAATAGTTTTAGAAAATGTCAAGTGAAACTAATAATTTTAAGATAAAAACGTCATTCCAACTAATGTGTTCAAAACCCAACCTAGCCACGCCAAGCAAAGAAGAATTCAGTTGAATTGATGTATTTAATATTTATCCAATTTCATATCTACTTCTCTAAAATCACAAAGAAACCTAATTTTTAGGAATGATATTTGTCAATTTTGAACCATTGAAAAAGTATTCGATCAATGGAAACAGATCAAACTATCTATCAATCCATTTGAAAATTTGAGATTCCGCACTTTGAAAAGTGTTTAGCATAGTTATCAAATCGTGTATCGGAAGACGTATCGTTTTTTAAAAATAGTGTATCGTAAGATACGGTATAATTTTAAATAAATAATAATAAAATATATATACCTTTGAAAAAAATCATACACTAATAAAAATATAGCATTTCATTAATACTCCACTAACTATTCAAGTCATCAACATAGTTCACTAATATTATAATGCAAAGTTCACAACCATAGTTCACTAATTCAAACTTCAAACACAAAAAAAAAAAAAAACAGGTTTTGCGCGTATCAGTCGTATCGTATCTTAAAAACATATCGTGTGTACGACACAAAAATAATACATAACTACGATCCGTATCGTTCTACCTCTATATCGTAACGTACCGTATGATACGTATTGCAAATTGTACGATACTAACAACTTTGGTCTTTAGTAATACATCTGTAATAGTTTTCTTGATTGAAGGAGATCTTACGAGTAAAAACTTTTCACAACATACTAATTATAAGTCATGTGTCCATTTAATTAGCACTAGTAATTATCTGTCACCTATAATAGATCCTCCTCTCCAATTACCATCGAATTGGAGGATCTCAGTAGTTAAAAAAATAATATGTTGCCACCTCTCCGTTTTATATTTGTACGGCTAAGATTAATCTTTTATTCCAGCAAAACCCTTTTTAATGCACTTGACGGCGGCATCCAATCACCATAGGATCATCGTGTGGAGTACAGACTCCCTTGAGATCTTCATTTGTGAATGTGATAGGAGGATTTTTTCAGGAAACCTTTTCCAGTTGAACAAGGTTGATTTCTTGCTCCTTTATCCGACCTCTCTGGGCATAAGCTTTCTTCGTCGAGCTGTTTTTTCCTCATGAAGCAAATCCTCTAGAAATCACCTTGATTTTCCCCATTGATTGTTGATGTTCTTGAGATTCTAGATAGGCTCTTTCCTCTTGGTGGTTCCTTTCTACAAATCTTCTAAGATGGTCCCTCTGGATCAACCCCTTAATCTGATCTCGAAGGGTGAAGCACTCTTCAGTTTCGTGCCCCTGGTCGTAGTGGAAACGATAATACTTATCTCTGTCTCGTTTGTTATGATGTGTTATGAGCTTTACAGGATACTTTAGGAGGTTGTCATTTTCCACTTAAAAAAGAACTTTTTCAATTCGATCGTCTAGCGGAGTGTACGCGTAAGCTTTTGATGCGGGTAAACAATGGCCCAACCTATTCCTGAATGGGACATGATCAGCTTTCCGCTTCTTTGAAGTATTTACTTTATCTGACTTTTCTTGACTATTCCTCTTCTTCTCATAGGTTGAGCCTTCCGCACAATTCTTCGCGTTGACCACATCCTTTGCATTCATATGACTCTAAACTCTATAAGGAGCTCCGCCATAGTTTTGAGGGAATGTTTGGGCACAGAGAAATAGAACCTAGTGGACATGAGTCCACTTATGAAGGTTATCAAAGCCATCTTGCCATCGACATCGCCTATCTAGAGGGACTCTTCCATAAACCTTACTACATACTTCCTGAGAATCTCTTCGTTCGTCTACTTGATATTGAGGAGAAAAGTGACAAATTTTCTAGAGTCCTTCCTCCAATGAAATGAGAAAGGAAAGATTTGCTGAGTTCTAGGAAGAATCCAATCGACCTAGTCGGGAGCCTATTAAACTAGAGATGTTGAAAGAACCTTCTTAACAACAACTTCTTGTATAGTAGCAGAAAAAGCCATGTATTCTGCATCAATTGTGGATAAAGATATGCATGATTGCTTTTTACTACTTAATGTAATGGCCCAACCATTAAGTAAGAAAGCATACCTGATGTGGACTTGCGTTCATCTATGTCATCACCCCAATCAGCATCGCTATAACCAACCATCTGTAAATCTGGAGGCTAGTAGCATAACATATAATTTGAAGTCCCCTTGAGATATTGTATTATCTTTTTGACTTCCTTTCAATGAGCTGTTACAGAATTTGACTGAAAACGACTAACTAGGCCTACTATATAGCAAATATTAGGACGGGGACGCATCATAACTTATATTAAGCTACCTACAACAATGGCATAGGGAACATGAGCCATGTTTTCCTATTCCTCAAGAGACTTAGGGCATATCTTTAGACTTAGGCTCTCGTCTTTCGCTACAAGACTGTCTATGGGTTTGCAGTTATGCATTTGGAATCGTTCAAAAACCTTTTTAATGTAAGTCTCTTGAGACAAACCAAGAAGTTTCTTAGAATGATACCTCAGGATCTTAACTCTGGGCACATAACTTGCTTCGCTCAAGTCCTTCATCTCAAATGTTAAGGACAACCACTTTTGAGTAGTGATAATCATCTCCTTATTATTTTCTGCCAATAAAATATCGTCAACATAAAAAGATAGAATTAAGAAGTTATCTTTAGACCGTTTAACATACACACAATGGTCTTCATTGATCATCGTAAACTCATTTGAAGTGATAGCTCGATGAAACCTTAGATACCACTGTCTAGATGGCTGCTTCAGACCATAAATGGATCGTTGGAATTTACAAACTTTGTTCTGTTGACCCACCACCACGAAGCTCTCAAGTTGATCCGTGTAGATCTCCTCATCCAGTTCTCCATTAAGTTTTTATAACGTTACTCTATTTGTAATGGTGGTACACACAAACATATGCTTAATTGGGGCCAGCTTTGAATACTCATTTTAGCATATGCTTAATTTTGGGTTTTCCTCCGGGGCACCTCAGAAAAACACTAGCCTTGCTTGGTAGGGAATTCAATAAAGTGATCATCAGATGAAATTAAAGTGTTCCACAGGAAAATAAAAGGTTCCCTATAGTTAATTTCTTTGACTAATGAATAGGGAGAGTTTACATGAATAATATGGAGAATCTAACTTCGACTACCCGAATTTCTAGACCAATTATGTCTTTCTACATTTTCTCGAACAGCCAATGGAGGATCGAATCTGAATTTGGTATTTTCCACATGTTGGATTTTGATAGAAGTCTCTAGATCTACCAGCTTTTTACCAATCTCTAACAGTTTGAAAAAATAATTCTTAAAAAGACCCAAATAGTTTTAGAAAATGTCAAGTGAAACTGATATTTTTAGGATAAAAATGTCATTCCAACTAACGTATTCCAAACCCAACCCTGTCACGCCAGGCAAAGATGAATTTAGTTGAATTGATGTCTTTAATATTTATCCAATTTCATATCTACTCCTCTAAAATCTCAAAGAAACCTAATTTTTCAGGAATGATATTTGTCAATTTTGAACCATTGAAAAAGAATTCGATCGATCGGAACAGATCAGACTATCGACCAATCCATTTGAAAATTTGAGATTCTGCACTTTGAAAAGTCTTTAGTAATACATCTGTAATAGTTTTCTTGATTGAAGTAGACCTTCCAAGTAAAAACTTTTCACAACGCAGTAATTATGAATCATATGTCTAGTTAATTAGCACTAGTAATTATCTGTCACCTATTATAGATCCTCCCCTCCAATTACCATGAAATGTGGGGATCCTCAGTAGTTAAAAAAAATAACAGGTTGCCACCTCACCATTTTATATTTGTACGGCTAAGATTAATCTTTTAATCCAGCAAAACCCATTTTAATGCACTTGACGGTGGCATCTAAGCACCATAGGATCATCATGTGGAGTGCAGACTCCCTTGAGATCTTCATTTGTTAATGTGATAGGATCATCGTGTGGAGTGCAAACTCCCTTGAGATCTTCATTTGTGAATGTGATAGGAGGATTTTTTCAGGAAACCTTTTCCATTTGAACAAGTTGATTTCTTCCTCCTCTATC